ATCAGATATAGTTCCAAAATATTTTTGTACCCAGCGGATGGTCTTATTTCTCTCTTAGTTGGATACACCAGAACTCTGTGCGATTTCTTTTTGTTAAAAAAACAATTTGGGTTGCCAAGAACTCGAAAAGTCTCGTGAATAAACGAGAAAAGAGCCGAGTAATATAATTAATTCTACATTCACGCGGGGAAGTAGAAATGAACGCGCGGTGTGCATATCGCAAGGTGATCAAAGATGGAAGTTGTTGGTAGTCAGGAGAGGTGAGATATTCGTGAGAAGAGACCGTGGAACAGAAAGCTTTCTTTCCACACGTACGCAGTCGGGGTGCGAGAAAAAGAAAAGAAACGGAAAGACGAGTTGGAAGGCAGAGGCGCAGCGAAGGTGCGAAGTTGACTCGAGGTTGGTAGAAGAGAGGAGAGAGAAAACGAGAGGATGAGAGAGCTTCGAGTATTTCGCCAACTTGGTAAGCCGAGTCGAGATCGCTCACGCGAGGATTTCTTCTTGGGAAACATGCTCTCTTTTCCTCACCTTACAGTCTTCTCTTCTCCTTTTCTCTTTCCCTCTCTCTCCCCTCTCTCTCTCTCTCTCTCTCTCTCTCTCTCTCTTTCTTTCCTTCGCCTATTTCTTTTTTTTTTTTACTTTTTTCTTCTCTCTTCTCTCCCGACTCTATCTGCTTCACTACATCGCGGGACCAAATCTTTCACGAACAGATTAAGGTGCGGAATATCGGCAAGTTTCGGAATGTCAGATACAACTATAATGATGTATATAAATATACAACACAAGTTTGCTGATTGTCCGTCGTAATGTACTATACGCTATAAAAAAATGTCAAAAAATAAAAAGAGACAAATTTTGGAAAAAAATGTTCGCGCGCGTACGTTTACATTTTTATAAAATAATACTTTATGTATCATCTTGTACATCTGTAAAAAAAATCAATTTTTAAAATATTTAATATATAAAGGTAGCATATATATACAATATATGTATCATGTTATTTTCTGTAAGACATATCAAATCAATCATCGCCTCAACTTAATCGTATTTATTCCGGAAGATTATGTTTCAACTTTCTGCTTCTCTTTTTTCCATGTTTTACATAAGTTTTCTTACTCAAAAGACGCAAAAAGCGATCCGCCATACGCGAGGATAGGTACTCACCCAAGGGATGTAGGAAGATAAGAAGAGGGTCTCGAGAAAGAACGTCCAATGACTGAACCATGATCAAAGATAATTTCCGATCAAAGATTAAGGATTACTCCCGTGAGCCGTGTGGCCCGTCTAGGAATCAAAGTCTGCCGAAATATAAAATGCATGAAGCGAGAATCCCAGGGGTGCGCGCCACGTGAAATCTCTCTTTCTCTCTCTCTCTCTCTCTTTTCTCTCTCTAGCTCTCGCTCTCTATTTATGTGTATATACGAGCGTGTGTTTCGAGAAGCAACCGCCACCCCGCCTACGTTACTTCACTTAAAGACAGATGGCGCACGATCGTCTCAAACGCACGTGCGCGTGCGTTTTACACATATCACATCGGCGATCTCAATAAAAAAATAAATAAATAGAAGACAGGCAATTGTGTACGAATGTCAAAAATTATTTCTTAAATTACGCGTCGCAATATAAGACGTGTTGCAAATCGAAAGTAGAAGAATTTATTCCTCTCGAATATGTTTAGCAAAATTGTAAATTGTGTAAATATGAAACAATTAAGACTTAAGGCTCGTTGAAATTGTCAACAAGAAATATATAAGGCCTTATTACGAGCCATTCGCAGGATGTTCGTGCGGAAATGAAAAAATTAGTTAGGGAGGTATCCGGGCTCTTTTATATGTGAGATGCAAATCCAGCATTCCGTATGAATTTAAGAATTAAAATTTCAATTCAAAAAACACTCACTTGTAAAAATTTACAAGTAGAACTCGTTACATGTGTATATATATATATATATATACACGCACAGTTTCCGCACAAACATCCTGCGAATGGCTCGTAAGGCCTTATATATTTCTTATGGTGTAAATATATTTTGAAATTAATTGTTAGATATAGTTACATGACAAAAACAAATTTAGAAACAAATGTTTGTTTAACTGAAGGTATTGAAATTCTTCGCACACATGATTCGAAGTGGGGAAGGGACATTTCCCCAAAACCCACCTCTAAACGCAATTTTTTTTCTGTCGCTTAGCATACTAGGTACGCAATTATACCACGGATAAACGTGTCTTAGGGGGATCGATTGGCCAAAATTGTATGAAAATCGTTTGTATTTTCGAGACACGTAGAGCACAGACCTCGCTCGGACATTACGTATTAGATTTAGCGCCCTTACAACTGTCGCCGTACATAATTAGGGGTGGCTTCCCCTATCGAAACAGATGGCAACCCTTAGGCTACGAGATAATTTCGCGGAGAACAGTTGGGAAGTAGCGTAATATAACCTGTGGGCACACGGAGAGGAGAGGATAAGGAGAAAAAAAGTAGAAGAGAAGAACGTGTAGGACGGCAGAACAAATACTAGAAATAGGAATCAAACGCTTGTTGACCATCAATTATTCCGTCAATACGCGCGTGTTGAAAACAAAAAAGAGCAATATATACGCGAGACTCGTTATCAAATTTCGCCCCTCCCGATAATAATTTATTGAAATTAGATAAGCGCACGGCGGAGGTGGATATCGCGATCGTACACCAAGTACGTATTAAACGTAACGACGGCGAGGCAATCGGCAGTAAGCGACTAAAGTGGTTTTATTCGTCGTTCACCGCGATCAGATATGGAGACAATGAGAGGACCCTCCATATTCTCGATCGCGCAACCCCGGCATCTATCTGTCTCTATCCGACACAAGTACATACGTTACCTAAGAGATTGCACTCGAGGGCAGTAACATGCGAATTGAATGACCACCGTATAAAATTCGCATCCACCGCGACCACCGTCGGAATGATAATGGCCTCTTCTTCGTCCCGATTTGAAGACCGGCAATCTGCGACGGGGTGTGTGTTCGTGAAGACGATTCGATTTGAAAATCACTACTCTCCCTCACTACAGACGTAATGTATGTACATTGTTTTAAGTGATAAATTTTTTCAAACAATAGCCGAGACCCCCCGGTCGCGTAATTGCTTTCGAAGAAGTTCGTTTGGAGAGGATTCTATTCCTTATATGAGCATCAACGAGATATATAAACGTAGATAGATCCACTTTTTCAATTGTACAATATACCGCTTGTACAAATTGGTTTACGAGCTCTCTTCTCACACAAGGAGATTTTTACATAAATTATAAAATGAATTTTTTTACGGTATAATTTTTTCTTCGCGAGTATCGTCGCACATATAACGTGTACATAATTTTTGTTGTCGATATAAATTTTGAAAGAAGAAGCAAAAAGGAAAGAAACACCTCTGAAGCATGTACGGTAGTAAGATAATAAACGATACACCGATACCTGAAGAAAACATGCAATTTGCACGTGCTCTTTTCGGTATCTGACATACCGAAAATTTTGTTTCGCCGTTTAATTCGCGGTGCACGCGAAATAATGAAGTGGAAGTGTAAAAGGCGGTTGTTAGAAAGGAAAGTGTGTCGGCCGCGAGGGGGCTTAATACCGTGTAAGTAGTAGCCACTGCATTACAGTCAGATTCATTTGCATGCACTTTTACATCCTTCCGTCCTCAAAAAATATTTATCGCCCGAGGTTTCACCGTGACGCCTCGCTTATGAATTATGCATGTGAAGCACGCGCGCAGGACGTAGCTCATTCCTAGCGCAATTTCGCCATTGAAGCGTAATTTCAGCAAGCTCGGTATTAGAACCCTCCCCCTCCCCCTCTCGAGCAGCTTTTTCGTGTGATAGTGCTTACGAGGGAGAACGAAAAGACGTGTCATTCAAAACGACGATGATCACCTCAATTGCCCCGGCTCGGAAAGATGAGAGCAGTGCGTATTAACTTTGTACAGGCGTTTTACGCGTCGTCTCCCCATGACGTATTGCGTTTCGTTTCATAAGCACGTAAAGTGTATACATACTTTCTTGTTTATTTGAGCTTTTAAACTCTCTATTATTTATTCACGAGTTGTGTAGTTTTTTTTTTTTGTTTTTTTCTTGAGTACATTAATAAACAAAAATATAAAACTTTTTATTGTTATAAATATAACCCGCGCGCACGCATCATACAGATAAAACTTTCGTTTTGTTTTTAATATTTTTTTTTTATTATTATTAATACTCGATGAATTTCGACAAATTCATTTTCGCGCGATGTTAACAAAGCTTTGATATATCGAAACACACATTACTACGCGTCGCATTGTCAGCAACAGATTTGATGTAACTAAAATTAAATCCGAGATTACGTGCTGATCGGATAATATGTTTAAGTCACCGTATAAACAAACGTAGGAGATATCCAGTGGGGATATGAATAGATACGGTCAATGTGTGACGTTTGCCGCATACTTTGCAACATATTTAAAATTGTAGACCGAATATAAAACCATAAAGAGCTTTACATTTAATAGCAGAATCAAAGCGTCATAATCATCGTTACACTGTAGAGCGTGTGATAATGGAGTATATGTACCGTGAGATAATTATGAATAATTATGTAGCAATCTCTCACCAAAGAATCATCTATCACCTCTATTATAAACAATATTAAAGAAGTGCCAATTTTACAATATGATGTAAAATTACATAGAATATAATTGTTGTTTCTATCGCGAAACAACAACTGAACTTTTAGAATATTTGTTGATAATATTTCCATTAAAATTAAACTTACAAAAGGTAGAATATATATATATTGTTTTAAAAAACAGATTTTGTTGTGCAACTACATGTTATAAAAAATTAAATAAATAACGAACATGCGTAAATAACAACATGTGTAAATAACTTCTAATTCGTAATCAACCGTTCGTTTACTTCGTGCATTTTCTTCTTCACAACAATAGTTATTAAAAAAAAAAAAAAATAAGTTTAACCTTACCGGTAGTAAATGCCGCGAATGTCGGCCGACCATTTTGCAGCAGTAGAAGGCAAACAAAAACAAAGACCGCCACCATCCTCGGTAGAAAATTAACGATCATCCCTTTCTTCCTTCCAACATGTAGCTGCATCACCGATATCCGATTAAAAAATTCGATGTCACGAATACAAGATCCGTATTCGCATTCTATCGGTTCACCAATCGAATCTCTCCAATAGTCACTGGCTACAACTACTCCCGAACACTCGTTTCGTTTCTCGGGAGTTGAACGGGAACAGGTGTTAAAGCACTTTTTCTCGTCCAGTTCGGAACAATTCGTGCGATTTCTCATTAAAAGCGTCACTTGGTTTCTACGTCAAAATTTTATAAAAGATTATGTCCTCCCGTTGCATCCTAAATAAGGTGTCCCCCAGGCGGAAGAATATCGGATGTGTTGTAACGTCTCACTTGTCTGATTAAATAAGTGACAAGTGTCTGTCGTCGTGACAGCGAACAATGTTCGAGAATTTGATTTCTTTTTTATCAAGTGCGTGCCCGCAGCACGGCTCCGTTCACGTATGCACGCGTTATATCGATAAAGTCTCGTTACTTGTCAGTTGTCAGGCTCGATTCAAAGGAGCGAAGCGACAAACAACACTACGCGCTTGGGACGCCCGGCGTCGACTGAGGTTCGCGGATAAAGCAGCAGAACCAGTCGGCGGCGGCAACGGCGGCGGCGGCGGCAGCACGCCACCGTTCCAAGCGTCACGGCGCAGATCTCTGCCACCCCCGTACAAGACCTCTCACCCTTTCCTGAATCAAGCCAATCGCCGCTTGCGAGTCACCGCCCATCGCGTTGCGGGGGCGGCACCGCACCCGAATTAAGATTTTCGACTTTTCTTAGTCCGCTTTCTACTCCACCCCGCTGCTACCCTATCCGTCTGTTCTCCTTTGCCCTCTCTCGCATCGTGTTTCTTTCGACGCCACGCATTGTCTCCTACTTTTGCGAGCTCGTCTCTTTTTTTTTTTTTTTTTTTTTTTTTACGCTCATCGTGCGCGCGAGCTGTGCCCGTGGCTCAAAAAAAAAAAAAAGCACGTGGATAATTCGCGCGGAATGATAATGCGAGGTATTCTCATTTTACGCCCGAGATTCACATGTGGTGCGTTCACTTTCTACTTTTTGCATCTTGGTGAAGTATAAAATATAATATTCGACAGTATTTAGTTTTTACTCTCTTCTCTCTCTCTCTCTCTCTCTCTCTCTCTCTCTCTCGCTGCTGCTTGAAATTTTGCAAAACTAATTTTATTTTTCTATCTCTTTTGCAAAAGGTAGCAGCAACTCTATTATATTTTATATGTTGCACGTAATGGAGTTACAATTTACTCTCAGCATCTGCCATGAATAAATGTAACGCACATGATCAAAATCATTTAACCAATTGCGATTCATGTAAAATTGAAAACAGTGCGTTTGTGAATTGGTATCGTTGCCTTAGCGATATTAGCAAATAAATATTTTATCAAAAGACGCAATCATAACTATATTGTAGAGCGTACATATAGTACGAGCGTAAGCGATATGTGTCCAATTATCATCGATTACAAATTACCGTCTCTCACTATAAATCTGTAAATATTTTATAGTTGTATTTTACCAATATCACGAGAAAGAGAGAGAGAGAGAGAGAGAGAGAGAGAATCGTAAAAATAGAAATATAACAAATTTCACCTTTAATATCTGTTATACTATATTATAAAACCCAGATAAAAAAACAAAACAAAAATCGAGTTACTCTCGCAAAATAATGACTTTAACGTAATTTTCACGGAGCAAGCAAAATGCTTGTAAAATTATTGAATAAATAAACATCAGAGAGGAATACGTCAAATATTTTAAAACAATTGCATATCGCGCTGTTTGTCTTGCTTATCTCGCATTTCCTAAACACGGGATTCGTTCAGAGAAAAGTTTGTGAAAACTGCGCACACTGACCTATCAAATTTCTTTTATTGAATAACAAACCGTTGCGCGGCAAAAACGCGCTCTAATAGAAACATACATGTTCGCGTTTACCGAAGAGCAACATCGCAAAACGAAACGTACGATATACAAGACTGATGAGTACAGTTGATGGTAGAATCATGTAGGATGCGGCTGCAGCGCCATTAGAATAATATCACCCATTCTTTATCAAGAAGCAAGTCGGAGATGTGCCGTGCACTCATTTCACGTGACATTTAATTTTCGTGAAAAATTGCCGGTGAGTTTGCTCACACGAAATAGAGCGTAAAGCTACCCAGTATGGGTTTGGACATGCTCTTCCAGATTTTGCGATTTTACGTTAGTAGTCGAAAATCTACAGATGCGGCGTATATTCCGCGAGCAAATTATATAATGTATTTGGATGTCGCACTATCTAAAGATAATGTTTCGAGAAATCTAATTATCAAGATTGTGTTGTTAAATATAGGAATATTGCTTTAATAAACAGGTGAGAAATGCGATTAGTTTTATTTAGTTAATTATTATTTGGTTCTACATTGTGGAATATGATCTCATTATGTACAATCTACAAATAAAGATTGAAACTGTTTGAAGATAACGAATTGAATTATACGAAATTGCACTTGATAAATTCGCTAATAAAGTTTGACGAAGTTTTGTTCTTCGCATTTACGACAATCAAAATGTCCAATATTCTCAAACTAAAATTTGTTTGGAACGCATAAAACTAAAATGATATAAAAATAGTATAATACTTTAAATACGCACACAAAAAATATTATTGATATCGATTTTAATATAATTTTAATCTTAGTGCAAGATTATATGAATCTGGTGAAAAATATAGTAAAAACATTTAAAAATCATGTATTTTGTTATTAATCGGATAGGCAGTATTACATCAGAGAACTGAACGTAAAATTTATAATATCTGCGGTAATATCAACAATATGTTGCGATAAATAAAGCTTGACTCTGGTGTGTTGTTATTTTTGAAATATGTTTAATTATCAATAAAATGATAAGTACCGATATGTGGAAATGTATTATTTAGTTGTAAAATAATAAGGTTAGTATTTAGTATTTAATACTATTTAAAAAAAATATACCTAATCTAGTTTTTTTTTTCGATATATATCATAACATAAAATGTTCTCTTCTGCGGAAAAAGTGGCTATATTTCTGAATGCAATGTGTGTTAACAGATTCTTTTACAAAATTACATCAGTTACGTTACGCGATCATATCGGGTCCGCTCGTATATGATTTTCATGAAAATTTCAGATTAAACATGACAATTATATTTGACTCGTGATTATAATTCTCTCTGCTTTTATCGACATTACCTTCAATTCACACATACATATGTGTAGAACGATATTTCGTCACTTTGTCTATAAATTTCCCAATGCATAATGCGTTCTGTCTATGATGTGTACGTATTTTATTTTGATAATTAGAAAATAAATTGCGTTGCAATCAGGTAATGTATTTCTGTGGAACAATTTTACGCTCTCGCAAATAAAAAAGGTTTTTTAACTCAACGAATACGAAAGAGCAATTCCTGGTTTAATTACATTGCGTTAAATTTCATTCCAAATTAAATATGATAAAAAATATACTATTATAAATAAATTATGAAACTTGAAGAGTAAGGTATATCTGTTCGGTGTACCTTTCATGGGGTATATTCCTATCACACATGCGTGATATTATCCGTGGAAAATTTTTTTAATAAACAACTTGGGTCCAAAGTCGGAGAGCAAAGAAATAAAAGTAGCGAAGGGATCAAGCGGATATCCGGCGGAACGAAACGCAGACATCTAAAAGATGGAAGAAGAAGTGGAAGAAGAGAGCGAAAAGCTTTCATTACCTTGATGTAAGTTTTAGGCGCGTCTAGGCTGATCCGCAGACCACTTCTTCGAAAGGGAACGAAGATAAACCGTCCGCGCATCTTGTCGTTATCAACAGCGAGAGATCTATCCTTCAACAATCCATCTACAAAATTCCAACCTGCACCGGTTATCTCACACATTCTCATTGGTATTATTCGTTATCTCATCTTATACAGTCTGAAAGGTTGAGATTGACATCCCAGTTATCGTCCGAGGAATTTTCTTCGGGAACAATTAACCGGCTCTACCGGCTTGTACTACGAGTTAAGTTTACTTTCATCGTTAAGCGAAACTTCCGCGCTTACGCGAGAACGGTTTGGTATCTTCGTTAGTGTTACAAGGTCATGAAGACACACCGCGCGGGACTTACTCGGCTAATAATATCTGGAATACGAAAATCGGAGATCTCTCAAGTGAGATATGTGAAACAACATCGCAGTGGCATATAATTTAGCAATCAACGTAATGAGTTTGTATTATCTTTAACATAAAAATTCTCGGTGAGACTAATTACATTTTGGCTATATAACACATAAGTATTATCGTAATGTAAATTAAATAGAATAATTGATTTTACTTGGTATGAAAAATATAACACAACTTTTTTATAAATTCTATTTTACGTGTGCTTCTGTTGGATAGAGGAGACTCTTTAACAATTGCAATAATTTTCCCCGTGTAAATAGAGATTTGCGTTTTGCAGATGAAAATCTGCGTATTGAAGGATTTGCTTGTAAGGTTAGGGTATTGAGCTTGAGGAAAAAGAGAAGAATAGGAAAAGGAAAATGATGTGACAATCAGAAGCAAGTTTTTGTCCGGGACACATCTGGTCTCTTATTTTCATTTTCCCCGTCAAATGATTTCTTTCTTGCCGCTAACTGAAAAAGTCTGCGCGCACATCATCTCCTACATCGCTCTTTTGCCAGTAACTTTCCTTATCAATTCGTAAAATAGAATGAGACATCCGCGTGACGAGATAATCTTCAATTAAGTAAAAATGTTTAAAAGCAAACTTACCGTTTTTATGAAAATAAAAACGGTATTATTTATTTATTTTATCCTTGTCACATTATTTCGCACCCAACAACTTATATGTATAAAACTGCGAAATTAAGAAAGTTTAGTGAACTAATACGATAAATTTTGACAATATGTGTGACCTGTATTTTACGAGAGTTTGTTAAAACTTGTTTATGCTAAGAAAAAGAAGAAGAAGAAATCAAAGCACACTTGAAAGAATCTGTTTTAAAATCTCAATTTTTCGGACAAATAATCCCAATGTTGCGAGAAAAATATTATTGATAAGACAAAAAAAAAAAAAACTGTCATTCCGAACACGAGTTGTGTGTCAATTCTACCAATACAGCGACGAGATATTTCAACGGATCAGTCTCACAATTCGCGAAACATTATTATCTTCGGTCGACCAGGCCGGTTTCCTTCTGCAAACAAAACTCCGTAAGCGATAGACAATTGCAGTTTCGAGACTCCCAGTACTCTACAGCCAATTAAGATTCAATACAATCGATGAGGGACTATTCAAACGATGAGACAATCGGAATGTAATTGCGTCGCCCCGATCCTGCTGAATACCAATTCATTTTCCGAAGCCCGGCACCGTGCACCTTCGTCCTTTCACTTCCACCTCCCGCCAGACCGCTTTTGTCTTGTGAAAATCTTCTTACCGAGTCCGCGAGCGCCAATTCTCAAAGTTTAAATTTCTTTTCCTTACGTCTCTTCTCTGTCAAACACCTTTTCTCCCTTAAACTTGGCTCTACTTCTCTCTTTCTCTTTCTCTCT